ATTGTTCACTTTCCAAGGAGTTTTCGGTGCCAGTATTCCTTGGATGTAGGGTCCAACGTGGTAACTCAAAACGGAGTTTCTGAGTTTGTATTCCAAATGTTAAGACCAAAGTTAGGAAGAATTGTGGTGTACTTGGACTCTAGTGATAATCAGTGATTACTGCACCCAACTCCCCACTCAAGTGGGAACAATGAGTACTGAGTATACAAGCGGCAAGTGTCTGGAACCCTGAAGCTAATGCGATTCCAACGAAATAAAAGCTACCAAACCGTATATGGGTAATCAGTACTCGAGATATATATATATATATATATATATATATATATATATATATATATATATATATATATATATATATATATAACGCAAACTTTTACCGAAGGCTCCGGTCACTTTACGTGTGCCTGTGTTGAGCCCTATTTCTACGATTGGCTACTTGTCCTCTCTTTTTTGGTATTTGAATTGCTTTTGTAATGTATTTGTAATTCAATATCCTTCTCTTTCTCATAGCTCATTTACTTCAGCTTCCACTAAGCGTATAAATTGACGAAGAGCGGACACCGAATGTCATGCTTTTTGTCTTTCACGGAATTTTCGTTCTGGCACGCGAATTTTGCGTATAACCATTTGGTCAGTTATCTAGACTGTGATAGTCATTTTTAGTTATGCGGCCTGCTGTTGAAAACGTTTTGTGACACTTAATCTGCTGCATGTGTCGTCGTGGTGCATTTAGAATTTGGATGTACCCGCGGACACTGCGGATTTTGGATTATCCTACTGGATTCCACTGTTGCTTCAGGATTGCTGTGTTATACATGATATTTTTGTGTGAATTGTGCACCAATATTTTTCTTTTGGTGTATGCTTCAATCTGTGCAACTTTGGTAGATGTTCTCTTGCTAATTACGGAGTCCTCATTGATTAGCCCAACTACCGTCTATGTCCGTCATCTTGCATTTTTCTCCGGTAATCGGCCATCATGACCACCACGCCAGTAACCCAAAAGGAAGTATTTTGTGCCAATCAAAACTGTGACAAAGTAGCAAAAGTAGCGTTGACTTGTACAAATTGCATTGACCGGTACCATTCGAAATGCGTCAAGGTCTGTAGAATCGAAGGCAAGAAATACAATACGCCGGGTTCCCTTTGCTTCCGTAAGAAGTGTACGACGGTTCCACTAGTAAAATGCGTACTATTCTTAATACAAAAATACGACTACCTAGTCGACGAAAGTGAACATCGTTTGAATGCAAAAATTGATTTGCTCGAGGAGACAATAACACATTTTGCGCCTCAACAGTCACCCTCAGTTGCTGTCTCGAAACCAAAGAAAAAGGCCAGGCATTCACACGACGACGCAGTACTAGATACCTTGGGAACCACGAAGCAAATCGTCGACCGCGACCGATAGAAGCATGTCTAGCCTCACCGCCTACATCCTCTTATCCACTGTATCGACTAATGCATCATCGGTAATACCCACCCTTCCGATGGACCACTGGAATCCGAAGCGCTCTAAAGACCGATCCACCTATGCTACCGTTGCTGCTCGGTACAGTCAGTACTCAGTAGCCACACCAAGTACAGCCATAAAATGGGTCAAGGACCTTGTGCAACCTGCAGAGACGTCACAAAATCCTTTGAAAACCGTGATTCCCACATCGCCGAAGACCAGTCGGAACTACGGGGCCTTGATACTTATATTAACCAACATTCCGGAGTCCAAGTCAAACTCTTTAGGGGTAAACAATGGACGAATTAAGGCAATGAAAGTTCGTTTTTGATAAAACCGGAGTTCAAGCCAGTCCGACTAATATACTGGGCATCACGAGAAGTCCAACCTCGAATCGTAATGGGGCGCCACGGCTAATGTGAATAACATTGGGATCAACAGACGATGTCGAGACGGTGCTTTTGTCGGTATATCGTCTGCGGACGGAAAACAGTGGAATACGCATATTTCCGGACGTTCCATGGAGATAACACTAGCGCAACAAAACAATTCAAACGACTACAACACGGAGAGTAGCACAAGAATTATTTTCGTTCAGAGCCTGCCCGAGCTACCGACAACAGGCAGCGAAGAATGGCGCTACATCCGTGAAGCTCCCTGTGTGGGCGACTTCATACTGCAGTCGATTACACGGTTACCCGTGTCGCCAAACTACAAAGGCAGTGGCCCGACGATACTGAGACTAACGATGCAGTCATCACAGTTGGCCGTGAATTTTATTCGTAGCTGGCACTTACTACGCAACACACTTCCTTCGGAACTAGGACAGAAGATAGCAGCTAGAGAGCCGAAGGCACTCGCTGTTCTCGCGGAAACGACACCACCCGCGACGTAGTATAGCCACAACAGCGATTCAAAAACCTGTGCGCTAAGACCCGTAGCTATCGAGAAAGCTGCCGATGGACTACATACCACAGGTGCAAGTGTGACCGAAAACAGATTGCATTCCTATCGAGATTTGGCAATTCGCCCAAAAAACGATTAGGTGCCGGCCTCTCATCAGTCGGCACAAATG